CCGTGCAGATTTGAATAGACCTTCAGATTTTTGTTTGGTAATTTTACAAAGCCCTCTCGGTATAGCTGTATCTCATCATCATCATCATCACCACGGTGCATGGGCAAATAGCCCGCAGTTAGGTGTCCACTGCACAGTTTGCCATTTGTTTCCACTTTCCTCCGTCTTGTGCCAATACGGTCAGGTGGCGGCCACATCTCTCAGGAACCAATCTCTCCTGTAGTCGTCAAGCCAGTCTCTGTGAGGTCTTCCTCTCATTCTAGTTCCTTCCATTTTTCCTTAAAACACACTTTTAATTGTCTTGTTGTTGTCCGTCTCCCATACGTGTCCAAATAGCGCCGCTTTGCTTCTCATCACTGCCTGCATCATCAGATTGTCCTCTTCTATGTGCAACCATTTTTCTTACGTCCACTTTGTTTCACTCTTTGGGTCCGGTTTAGATGCAGTATCATTCTGTAGCACTACATTTTGCGTGCCGTTGTTTTATCTCGGTCAGTCTTTTTCAACGTCAAAGTCTCGCAGGCAAACAAAGCTGCACTGTGAACATGCATGCCCTTCAGTTTAACACGTAGGCTTTCGCGACCAATATTATTCATAATAAAGGTTTTTGGGTTAGATCGCGTTATTTATAAATGTGTCGTAACCCTCCACCACCCGACACGGCCAATCAGCAAAAAAAGTGGCACGTTGACAAAAGACAAATAATTCACTACTTTAGCCCACCTGTGTGTTGAAGAGTGACGTCACCCTGCTGCTCTATTTAAGACCGAGAGCAAGTGAGGGCTTTACCATTCTGGCGAATTGCCCGATGATGCTGGATGTAATTACCAGCGAAACGTCGTACTCAAACTGTAAATGTTGTGGATTCACTCTTCAACACACCGGTGGGCTAAAGTAGTGAACTAATTGTCTTTTGTCAACGTGACACTTTTTTTGCTGATTGGCCGTGTCGGGTGGTGGAGGGTTACGACACATTTATAAATAACGTGATCTAACCCAAAAACCTTTATTATGAATGCATGCTCTTACGATGTTCAGTTGGGTCTTGAACCTGATTTGCTTCCATCCCCAGATGTTATTGAGTCCTGCCATTACTCCTGGCTCTATCTACAACAATAATGATAAGAATGGCATTTTTTCTCTCCAAAAAAGCATCACCGAGTCTCAAGACTTTTTTTGTCCCGCCAGGTCCTGATTGGGATGCTTGGTCAATTCCATTAATAAATGTTTGGCGTTTGTGTGGGACAAAACATCGAGTTACACCACCATTGGAGAAAACTCACCACATATACAAGGGGGTGGGGGGAGGGGTAATACTCAAAACTCCACACAGATAGATTTAAGAATCCATTGTCCTGCTATTTAATGGCCACCTGCCAACCCACCTAGTATTCCCCACAGGCAGTCAAGAATTAACCGGGCTAAGGCCTGCTTGGCTTGCGAGATCGATTGAGAACGATGTCCGGAGTGATGCGGAGCTTGCGAGAACGTCAATTCATAATCTCCGCTTATTTGCCGTCGTTTTTTTCTTCTTCTTCTCTACGTTGGCGTCTCTTCTCACCATGTTCACCCACGCGTCGCCCCGAAGACAACTCCCCCACGCAGCGTGCCTTTCCCATTGATGTAGGAAACAGAGCCTCCGGAGATTCGTCTGAAAATCCGCCGAACGGCGTACACCGCGGGATACTGGGCCGCGGTGAAAATGTACCAACAATGTGTAATTAATCTCGGCGAACGTGGGAGTAAGTGAAAATTGGAAGTTTTAAAAATCTAAAATGGAACAAAAAAAAAACCGCCCGCAACATTTGCGACGGGAAGGAGTTAGACGAAAAGTACATCACCGCCGACGAGCGCCCAATCGCCGCGTGAAATAGGAACGCGCGTCGGCGTGTTCCGTGCGCCTGGCCCATTTTAATCTTAATTGAGCTCTCGGAAACTGACGTGTGTTCAGTCGTGGTGAAATGATTCACCGTCGCCACCTCACCCCCCCCGCGTGAACCGAGTCGGGGTGGGGGGGGCCCCCCCCCCCCACGATTGAATCATTTTTTTTGTCTGTGTTTTTGTTTACCCCCCTCGTACCGTATTGTTCCTCCCTTGCTTTTTGCATCGTTGGGCGACCCGGGTCGCTTTTGCAAATGCGGATACGTCCTGGCCTCTTGAGTTCTCACTTGGTTAAACGAAATAAACCTGAAACGTGATTTGCGCGCTTTCCCGTTTGTTCAGCCTAACGGGCGTAATCATTTCACGTTACCGGTTATGATCCATCCACTGCCGTATGAATCATTTCTGATGCTGTTATCCTCTCGCTCGTGGCCTTGCGATGCCACAGTCCATCTCGCTTCTGCGCGCGTCAGCTGATCTCATCTCTCCATAGCTCCGGTGGTCGCCTTCCCGATCGTGTTCTCTCTATTTTGACTGCCATTCTGTCACCAGTCTTGTCCATGGGTCAATCATCCCGATGAGCGATGTGTGCAGTCCAAATGCACTTGCTTTACTTAACAGTCAATTTGAAGTCTCTCTAATTTGTTCCCTGATCCATGCATTCCTTTTTCTGTCTCCTAGTGCAATTCCCAGCATGCCTCAATGCTTCTTGGCGCACTTTTCAGCTTTTGTTCATATTCGGCCGGTGGCCGCTACGCTGCTCGTGGCCTGTATTCCAGCAGTGTGGAGACGGCACAGATGTCGTGGAAATTCCCTTACCATGCACGCCGAGGAGGAGCCACGTACCCTGGCTAGCCAAAGGAAGTGCAGCAAAGAGCGGACTGACATCATCTGTCTCTTTCTAGAGCGTTGCCTCCTTGCACGTGTGTGCTTTCTCCGGGTGCTCCGGGCTTTTTTTTTCTCGATTGGCCGAAAACGTCTTAATGTGCAGAGGAGGGTGTCTGATGGGCGGAGCGTGGATGAGAGGCTGTGGGGTATGGGGGACATTGTGAAGTTGTGAAATGGGCATGGAGGGTGTTAGGGGCAGAGGTCTGGTGGGCGGACAGTTGAGCTGATGGAGTAGCGCAGTGTATCTACCCCTGCAAGATCAGCTCCATTCCCAGCCTCTATCCCTGCATCTATTCCATCACCTTCCTCACCGAACGCCGTCGGATTTAATCTTAAAGCGCCCTGGAAAGGGTACTATATAAATGCGAAATAGAATAGGACCCCAGAGCTTGGACAATTGTTGGTCGTGCCAACTTACCACCGCTGCTGCCTAACAGCTTTGTCTGGTTCCTCAGCGACCGTGAGAGATGCAATTTGCACGAACGATGACGCTACGTATAAAACTATAACATTATTATTTATGATCCATATATAATGTGGGTAATATGACAATATTGTAAATGCATTTCTTCTAGTACATTGGTATAATTCTCACAATTTGGTATCATTAATTAACAAATCCTGTCATGTAATTTCACTTTTCATTGTAAGTGGAATTATTGTAGTTTATTTCAAAGGTGCATTTTAACTAATCTGTTTTTTTAGCAGATTAAATGATGTGGTCATGGCCCGGAATTGAACTCAGGTGCTGGGGTTCATAGTACAGTGCGCTATAACCGCTATATCACCGTGTCACCGCTCCGGCTATACCCATTTACATACAGGCACAAACGTACCCACGCGTCGTAGAATACCAACCATGATTACATAACAAAGGCACAGATCCCCCGTATAGCCATACATGATATTGGGGCAAGTGGTGTGAGCGAGGGGCACTGACGAAGGCCGGCACGGCGCACTAGGAGGTGGTGTGGCTACCACTGCTACCAACTCACCACTACTTCTGATGTTTTCAACTCGCAGCACCAGATGCAAATTTAAGGGTGAGTCGACCTTGGGGGAAGCCCAAGACAGGTTGAGGTATTTGCCACCGATGTCGGCCGTGAGCGGGAATCGGAATTTGGGCCCGCTTGCTTGGTAGCACGGCGTGCTAACCACGGCACTCTCCCGCTGCCCACTGATAATTACAAATGCACACATACGGAGATACGCACGCATGCGTGCACGCGATGGTATCCCTGTGGAGTACAGAGACACTCCGAAGAAATATAAATTCTAATTGCCTATTTCTACTTGGAATTAAAAAAAACACACACACACATCGCGAGGAACGCAATTGTAAGTCCTGGTGAGGCCGGTTATTATAACAAGGAGCAGCTTTATGAGCCGTGCAGCACCTGCCGTAGTGGTGGACTGGGTCCTCTAAAACACGGTAATTATTCCAGTTTTATTCACTTCTAACTAGAAGCATTACCGGCTCTTCTGTGAAAGGTCAGCGAGTTTTAACTGCGCGTTCCTTGGTAGCTAGGCGGTGCCTGTCGCGCTGCATTTGCGCGCCGCTCGGTACCTCGGAGGCAAAAAAAAAAATACTCCCTGGAAGTTACCAGGGCGAATGGACCGGAGTTGTGTGACGGGAGGGCTCATTTGGACTTCCAGGTCGAGTACCACGACTCACGGCAACTAGAGTTGCGAGGTCACGTGCTAATCATGCGGCAATGTTTGCTTGCTTTAAGCAAATGGGGCGAACAAAACGGATGGTCTCTAACCGTGACCCTGGATCGTGACGGGACATCGAATCGCCGTGAGAGGTGTGTGTTATCGTCGTCACACGCCTGTTAACAAAAAAATATATATAATAATAATAATAACAACGTATGCACACGCAGTTCTGTGTGCTCTCCAACGTGTTTTTTCGGGTTGTGCCGCACCACGTGTTGTTCGACGCGATGTCCGACGTTTTGCTGTCCGTGCTGGGAGCATTTGTTCACTCACTTCCTCCTATTAATTTCTTAATTTCCCGACGAAGCTCCCAGCACGTGGAGCAAAGCGTCGGACATCATGCCGAACAGCAACGCGGTACGCCCCGCAAAAACAACAACGTGTCGGTGGAGCTGATCTATGTTCCCGAAAATAAAACGTCGAAAGTGTCGCCGTTGCCCGGCCTGGCGCCAGCGCCATGTCAGCGCCGTTCCAGCGCCGTTCTCGGGTTAACGCGTTTGCCGTCTGCTCAGGTTTACGGACGCTGAGACGGTGGTGATGGGCGACGTGACATACGGAGCGTGCTGCGTGGACGACTTCACGGCCCGTGCTCTCGGGGCCGACTTCATGGTGCACTACGGACACAGCTGCCTCGGTGAGAGTCGCTCGCGATCGGCCTGCTGCTGCTCTTGCAGAGGCAGCGTGTGTTCACGGTCGGACGGCGTGGGCACAGAGACAGCATGACCACGGTCGCACAGCATGACCATGGTGTAACAGCGTGGTCACGGTAGGACTGCATGGCCACAGGCAAATGATCACTGGCTCTGCAATTTTGATGTTCTTGCCTTAATTTTGTTCTTTCAAATGGCTAAACTGGACCATCATCCGTGTAACAAATCGCACTCATTGACGTCACGGGATATTTGACGTCGACTGCGTAGCGGACGGTGCGTTGTTGTTTTTCGGTTCACGCACACCATGATATTAATCAGGGCAGCCACCAGATTTGAACCTGGAATCTCTGTAATAAGAGGTTAACGTGCTACCGCTAGGCAACGTCACCTTCCAAGTCGCTGATCTAATTATTATAAAAATGGCATGATTTATATAAATCACTAAAATAATGATTTCTACCGCACCTTAATCACAGTCCTTCTAGAACCATTAATATCCCATTTTCAATAGCTGTACCATGTCTCAGTAGTTTTTTCTTTAGTTGTCATAAATAAACGATGAGTATAAGCCCTTGGCCAGTGTTCGGAAGAGGGCCTGGCCACAGTTTAATTGAATTACTTGTGCGCAGATTAATATCTGCAACGGCTGCCATTGTTGGTTATGGGTGCTCAGTTTGACCGGTTGTCTTATCCCCTCCACACCTTCGCTGTATCCAAGTGGAATATGCTTATATTCGTATATGTCGGCTGTTAGCCGTATACGTCGATTCTCTTACCGACGTATATTGTGTAAGTCAGTTGTGCGCGCACGCTCGCTAGCACGCTCGCACGCACGCACGCACGCACACTCGTACGTACGTGTGGCTGCATTAGATTAATATGAGGTTTTTGTTAGCTAGGACGGTGGAATAATACTCATAACCCTGGATTCGTACTCAGGACCTTAGAGACGATGGCCAGCTCAGGGCCCGCTGCACCATGATGAGCTTTTCTTGTTGACTATTCGTCCATGGTCGGAGCACGGTGACACGTGTTACTTTGTTAATAGCAGTGCAGTGATCGTTATTACATTCGTCTAATGGAAATGGATTCTGACATTTTTCCCCAAACAGCCCTGCAATGCTGGATGAAAAGTTATAAATGCAGTCTTGAGTGCCTTGAGTATGTAAGAGCGCCTGATGCGATGTATAAGACTGGACGGGGTGGGGTGGGGTGGGGGCATTGGGAATGTTTGATGTGGATGGAAAGTCGACGGCACATGTTCCGAGTTGACGTGATTGACCAGCTTGGACTTGCCAAATAAATTACGTGGCGTTTATTTGCTCGTAAAACTGAAATGGAAAAAAAATTAAATCATTGTTTTTTTTTTTCTCCGGATACATTTTCATCTGTTTTGAATCGGCAAAGGGTCCATTAGTGAAGTTGGTACTTTGCCAAAAAAATTGTGTACATATATATTCGTTTTTGAAAATGCTGCTGTTGTGTACATTTCTGTGAATCGGAGTAGGCAAGTACGCTTTGTATGTATGTTGAACTTTTTTCGCACCGTACGTAGCCAACCGTGCCAATCGGAGATGCGGGAAATGTATCGTGTATTTTAATCTTGACTTGTAGCTTTCGTAACTGCAGCAATTAATATTCTTTGGGTCTTTCGGTAAAGCCACGTCGAAAGTAAAGTCACGTTGATAGGTTCAAAGAAAATAACAAAAAATACTTTCTTTGAACCTATCTGCGTAACTTTACCGAAAGACCAAAATAATATTTAACACGTTAGTTTGATTTGCAGTTGACTTGCACATCGGCGGCTCGTGTGTGGTGGGGTTCAGTGTATGTACTGCCACCTCTTCCTAAAACGTAAGCCTGGAAGAGTAGGCCCAATACCCTCTTAGAGGGGCTCAAGAGATCTCCCGCTACTTGCAATCCCTTCAAGTCCGTGAATCGATGCATCATTACAGACTGAGTTAACCGATGCCAAGTTATTATTTGCATGCTGCATAGGTGGCTCCTGTGCCGCAGCGGTTAGCGCACCGCGGTGTTAACCCGGGTGATCCGAGTTCAACTCCCGGCCACGGCTAACATCAGTGACGAGTGACACCCGAACAATTCCTGGCCGTCTGCCCCAGTCACCGGTGTGCACCGACCGGACCGGTGAAGTTGTGAGAAGTGTGGCCAAACGCAGCATTGGGTGGTGGGGGGAGGGGGGGGTCCAGGTGACGGGAGTCATCGTCTTAGCAGTGCATTGACTGCCGATTATTAATTTAGCAATCATTCGTCGGCATATGCTGAAAAACCTGTGTTATTTAAATTGACCGTAGAGAAATTATGCAAGGGGGCTTCCTGCAGTAACGAGCCGTTGTGTTACAGGTAACTGCAAAGTAGCCATGCGCTTAGCTTGGACAAGGGCTTCCCACACCTTGCTCGCGAGTCGCGCTGACATTTATACGTTCGCTTTTTGAGATTGCGCGTGTGTATGTGTGCGCGTGCTTGTGTATGTGTGTATATATATAGCTTCGCAAATGGAGCATTAAAACGTACAGTAACAAGAGCTCAATGTAGATTTAAAAATCAATATTCTGCCCCCTGCATTGCTGGGCCCGCTCATAAAACATGCATGCGCCGTTGTGTACGTATTATGATGCACGATCATTTTTTTCTAATTTGCTTCACATGTCAACCCAGCTTGAGATTGAGACGAACAGCGTGTGCACAACACGTCTCGAGTATCCCTTCCGACGCCGCCTCTGCCACATTTGATGAGGTTGCATGGAACCGTTGGGCCCGGTTACACCTTTTTTTTTTTGGAGCCAGCCCCCCTGCCTACACCCTTATTTTTGGTGCGTCGTTTCGGGCCGCGACGTTCGGGCCGCGACGTTCGGTCCGCCACGTTCGGTCCGCCACGTTCGACTTTTGGCCGGCGGGGAAGGACAGCAAACTGGTTACCACTCTGAAGCTGCAAACCCAGCAGCTGTGTGGGCCCCCCCCCCCCCCCGCCGCTCCCTCCAGGGGACCGAGACGGAGGTGCGAACGCGGCGGTCACGGGCTGCTGTGTAGGCATATTCGCCCCTCATATCTGATGTGATTGCAGTCATTGCACCACCCCCCCTGCCCCCCCCCCCCATCCCGCTTCGATTTAGCTAAAGTTAGGCGATCCCTCCTGACCCTGCTGGCTAAACAATAATAAAAAAAAAAGTGCTGGGAGCTTCTTGAAGAACTCATTTGAACAACACACATTCGTTATCCGTCCGCTGCCTGCTGCTGGTGGCGGTTGTGTTCGATGGCTTTAAAAGTGCACATAGCCTGGCACAAGCGCCGTGGCGATGGCACCGCCATTCAGTGGCGATTGGCCGTCGTCGTTGGTGTCTGATGTAGACCGGTCGATGTTCGCGAGGCAGGAGTTGGCGGCGCTTGGCTAATTTGCCGAAGCGAGCTGCTCGATCGAGCTCCTTGGCTGGGGGAGCACCCAGAAATTTGCGGAGCGAAACGTCGGACACCGTGCGTGCGTGCGTGCCGAGCTGACGTGCGGCACGACCCCCAGAGCGCATCGCTCGGGCGAAAGAGCCACGCGGTTTACGAGGCGCGCGTGGAACGTTGGCCGCATTCTAAATTATTTTTCTCGCGTTAATTACTGTTTCAACACAAACGAGTAGTTATTGGCATTTTTTGCACGGAGGGACAAAAAAAAACACGCAGTTTTTTTTTTCTCTCTCTCTCTCTCTGCACCACAATACGTGCTCGGAAAATGTTTAATCACCAACGATCTTTATCAAGGAATTCGGTCCATTATGTAAAATCTGAACTCGGCAGTCAATAAATAGGCCAATTAGTGTTCTAATTCAATATAGCGATTGGAGGGCAAGACGGAGAGAGACGGTGCAAAAGAAACGAGAATTATCTACATTAAAAATGTTATGAATAATGTAATATGAATTGATTCGCATGCATACATTCCATAATTCAGCGACTAAATAAGAAATGTATTCTACAGCCGAGCTGCTTATGCGCACGAGACAAAACCATAAAGATGGCGACAATCTCCAGCTTTTAACATCGTGGCCAAACAAATGTTACCATCAGCGCAAAAACAAAGGTAGGGATTCCCCCTATAACCTTTTACAGACTGTCAGTGAGCACCTATGGAGATCGACACGGCGCGCGAAGAGGTGGTGTGTCTATGACCACCAGTGGTGATGTTCACACAGAGCCAAGTACACATTTAAGGCTGAGCTGACTTACAGGGGAGGCCCAGGAACGATTCAGATATCCATCACTGCTGTTGACCGTGAGTGGGAGTCAAACTTAGGTCACCGTGTTCGTAGCAACAGTGCGCTAACCACTAGGCTACCGCTTCCCCCATCATCATCATCAGCACACACGCATACTCATCGTAAAAACATTAACGGCTTGCATTCGCTCGTATTGTAAATACAAAAAAGAAATACCCCGATACTATCCACGAGTGCGGAATAGCACGATCGCAATATTAAAATGAACAACAGAACTTGCAGGTGTGCCGGTAGTTGAGAGCGGTTGGACTGGATAAATTACCAAAACGCCTTTCAGTCCCTGGGGCGTGCCGGAAACACGTCGAGTAACCCTGTTGAGGAATATCGTTAGAAAATGGGTGCTCAACTTTTTAGTGCTCATTTTCTGTTCCGAGCAGATACTGTTTCTGAGCGTTTGGTTGGGCCTGGCCTGGCGGGAGGGGATGCTGGGGAGTGGGTCACGGATCTCTCCGATGTGTGATGGGGTTGTGCTGCGTGTTGTCGGGCACGATGTCCGATGTTTCGGTTCCTGTGCCGGTAGCATATTCGGGTCCTGTGGTGGAAACCAAACTGAACGAAGAGCTCAGAAAGTGGAGCGACGCGTCGGGCAAACGCGCTCGGAGATGCGACGAGCGGAGCGACGTGAAACCGCACCGGAGGAGGGCCGTGCCGTGGCACAACTGCGAAAAGCCTACGCGGTGGAATCCCCAGCTGCAGGTCATCGGTTAACCACCGACAAGCTCTGTCATGCTCCAGTTGAGCGTGACCACTGCAAGCGGAAATAGCTGATCTTCGGAATCATGTCAAGTATGGAGGTGGGTCAGCAAAGTTTGCCGGGGCCTTGTTGAATAAGACTCGTGCACCCCGCGCCGGTTTCGCGCTTTGTTGCGGGCCCGATAGCGAGCTCACGGCGTTTCCTGTAAGCGCTGCCTTTACCGGCAAATTTGAGCGAGCATTGCTCCCCCCCCCCCCCCCCCCCCAACGTGCATTGGAAGACGGGGCGAGACGGGCCTCCTCATTCCCCCTCGCTCCACCCCTTTCGTGCGGTTCCACCTTGCCGGAATGCCGAGCCCCGCAAATTGTTGTAAAAATGAAAATAATTAAAAGGACACGGGGCGAGGATGATCGGCAAGGGAGCGGCGATCGCTCGGAGCGCCCGTACCGCGGAGCCCCGTCTGCCACGTGTCATCTCCGGCATTCCTTTGTGCGCCCTGTACGGCTGTGATGGGCGCGATTGATTTATTTTTAGATGCGTTGCGGCCGAATTTCCCCCCGCCCCCCCCACTCCGCCCCCCCCCCCATCCCCCTTTTTATATTTTTCTCGTGGGATAATTGATTCGCCAGACAATTGCGAAGAATGAAAATGGAAGTAACATTTCTGAATCGATCGGCCACCCTTCACTGGCAGTAAACTGCTCTCTGCAAAGTTCCTGTTTCTCCGTCAGAAGGAATTCCCGTCCGTGCGGCGCTTGCGCGGTGACGCTGCCGCTGGACACAGTGGTCGGCGCGCCGGGCTTGCGATCCCTAGGTCGCCGGTTCGGTTCGACGGTTCAGTTCGACCCTTCCTGCGGCTCGGCAGTTGACAACGACGGGGCAAAGTTCCTTCAAGTCGCCCCCAAGCCGCCTCCGCGAGCCCAGCGGTGTAAATGGGCCCACCCACAGTTGATCTACAGACCCGTTTGTGGTGGGGTGACGCGCGGGTCACGCCTTACCTTCTCGAAGACGCCTGGCCAGGGTGGACGAGTCGCTCGGGTGTCCTCTAGAGGGTCTCACTCGAGCTCCCGCCGTCGGGACGCACTTCCACCGACAGTGAAGTGACTATGTCAGGGCTGCACCTTTAAGTTAGCAATAGCGCAGCATGTGCGCGCGTGTGTGCGCCTTGTGCGCAAGTTTGCTTTGCGTGGAACACTCAGCATCGTATGTACTCAAGGATGATTCTACCCAAAGGACAAATGTCTCTCATTTTGCAGATCTGTACAGACTCCAGGTTGGTTGCTGCATTGCGAGGCTGTGAGGGATGGCGATGACTCCTAGAAGCCTTCATCCAGCAGTAGATAGGTCGTGGCTGATGATGACAATGATGGTGACGACTAACTAACTAGAATGGTCGATGTCAAAGGTAGCGGCGTCACATTTAGTATTTCAGTGCCTTAGCTTTAAATGTAAGTTGTATTTTTTGTTCTTATTACCGTTATCTAACTAAATCATCTCAGCGCGCCCCCCTTAAATCACGTGAATTCCATGTGGCCACCCCAATGTGAACCTCACCACTCTACCCCTCTCCCCCCCCAACCTCTCCCCCGCGTGAAAACAGATGCTGCTCAGACTATTTTTTATCACAATAATAACGAAATAACAATATTTCTAACCGCGTTTTTTTGTAATTATATTTAGGCCATTCACCGCTCGCCAGTTAAAACGGGTGAATTACTATGACAGCGGACTGGAATAATTTGTTTTCGGAATTTTTCTTTATTTTTTTTTTTACGTCGGGATCTCCTTTCATCGCAGCGAGGGGGGGGGGGTCCTGCTGTGCACCTCCGTGTTTAGTTGAATTGAAGCTGTTTGGGGCGCACGCTCTGGCTTATTGATCTGAGCGAATAAATCTCGCAAAGCCAGAGGATGCACGCTCAAAAAAACGGTGGGGGCGCGTGGGGGGGGGGGGGGGGTGGAGCCCCCTCTTAATGACTTTCCGAGACAACGTTATTGCTTTTAGGGGGGGAGTTGGTGCGACTCGAAACGACCACGGATTACAAGGGGGAGACGTATCGATTAAAATAAAGCAAGTTTCATCGCTCGAAATTCATTTCTAATTACGCAGGAGAGAGAGAGAGGGGGGGAAAAAAAACACGGTGTTTCTCTACACAGGCCTTTGTGCTCCACAACTTCTCCTCCTTCGTGCTATTTGTTTTGCCTGCATATATCATTTACGGCCGTGAATGTGTATCCTACGGTGTTGCCAAATGCCGATGTGATGGAATGATTCACGATGGATGAATAAATAATTCGGGTGAATTTTTCGGAATTTGTGTGGCGTGTCCCACTGGACGTGCCTGAGAGGAGAGAATTTAAGTTCTTGGAAATGTTTGGCGGGGCGGGGGGGACAACAACAATAACAACAACAACAACAAAAATCACTTTACACACGGCCCTGCAGACAATCCCGTAACGCTCGCCAGACTGCATCTCACGACTTAAATGTGTTTTCGTTTCCTGCGTTGACACTCCCGTACGGTATGAACGATGCGGCATTCGAAATGTTTACCCGGAACGCGAGCACACTAGTGCTCGCGTGCTTGTGGCTCTGCATAAGTTCGCCGATCGGGCGTCTCGAGCCGTCTCCGTCGCTCCGCGTGGCCGTCGCGCTCGCCGCTGAATTTGTTCGTCAGCCGATTGGAAAAGGAGACGCGCCGGGTGATCGATCGGCATCGGTTCTCGGGGTTTGCGCATTTGCGAGGGTGAGCTGGGGCCGTCGATTATGCAAATGGTGATGATGATGATGATGCCTTGGTGCGATGGTGAGCACGGTGGGCAAGTCCGGTGGTCACCGGTACCGGTTCGATCTCCCCGCGGCGACAGTTAAAACATGGGGGAGAGTTTGTTAAATCCTCACCTCCAAACCGACGCCACCTCTGTCCGTCCACCCAGCTTTGTTGTGAATGTTACAGTTGGAGCACAGTTAGTCGGTGGGCCGGCTGCGACCGGTTGGAGTTAGCGTTGGGTGCCCCTACCTCCGCCGAGACGCCCTGGCCAGCCTGGAAGAGTAGGTGAAAAATTACCCCTCTTTTGAGGGGGCTGTTGAGAGCTCCCGCTGGTGGAGGCTCTTCTGCCAGCAGTGGCGTAAGCAAAGCAATGACAAGGGCTGCACCTTTACCCTTTTTTCAGCGGTTTTACTGAACTTGATTCCTCTGTTTGTCGTGGTCAAATCTTGCAATCAAATTTTCGTCCACTTCCCGTTGTCCAATCAATTGCACATTTTGCACACGTGCTCAGATCCGGCGACAATGCATGCCTGTACCAAAATCAGCATCAGTTGATCAATGAATTCGCAACTTTAAAGCAATTTAAAGTTTGTAAGGACGCCTTATTATTTTTATATATATTTGTGTAGGTCAAAAACGCCGCGGTCCCTAAACTGTGGAATCGGCTCGCACAAAAAGCAGGCGCCGCGTGTCTCAGGCTCCATTGACGTACTTATCGACCGTGAGTTAAACGAAGTTGTTAATAAAAACGTTGTTTAAAAAAAAAAAACTTTTTTCAAGGATTTTATTAATTGCTAAAATTACTTGCAGGGTAATGTTACAGAAGCACAGGTGACTACATAAGGTGCGAAAGAAGTTCAGCATATATCCATACATACAGGAAATGATATAAAGGAGACATCGAAAAAGCGAATAACACTACCAAAGAATAGGTATATTTTTTATTCTTCTCAAACTGGTCTTAAGATCGCCGAATCGTCACAGCTCCTACGAATCGCCGTGGCGGAGGAGAGTGAATCATCGTGCAATTGCTTCGTCCGCTTTGTGTTGCAGTCCCCGTGGACATCACGCGCGACATAAAGATGCTCTACGTGTTCGTGGACATAAAGATCGACACGGCTCACTTCATTGACACGCTGAGGTTCAATTTCCCAAAGGGCTCCTCGTTGGTACTCGTCAGCACCATTCAGTTCGTGTCGGCTCTGCAGGTGAGTCCTGCCTCGCCGTCACGCGGCGCCAACCGGAACCCTCACGCCTGCGAACCTCTCACGCATGTCTCAAGCTCACAAATCAGAGGCCGCAGCCTGCGGATAGCAACAACAACAACAATGATGCAACTACTACTGTTAACAAGCAGTGCAGACAAGTGGCTCAGCGCTACAGCGAGCGGGTCAAAGTTCATATCACATCCTGGTTTTGGAGTTGACTCAGCCCATCATCCTTCCGGGGTCGATCAAGTAAGCACTGCTTTTTGGACAATAGTGGAGCGGTTGACCTTGGGAAAGACTCCCCTCCCCCCGCCCATAGGAATGTGGAGTTTCCGCCACGGGCTCAGGGCTGTACACGGGGGAGATCTGTGCGTCCGCCTCGTTGCTCGTTTGAGCTTTGACCTTCGACTCGTTGATTTTGAGCGACAACGCCATGCCGCGTATCCGACTCGCTGGGGGACCGCAGGTACAGGCGGATATCTGAGCAAGCTCAGGTACGCGAGCGCACGTGGGAAATTCCATTTACACCGCGCGCAGATGAGGGCGGAAATAAAACGCGGGGGAAACGCTTCGCTGAGAAGTTCACAAGCGAATGTAGGCATGGGTAAGAACGCAGTGCTGCTGCTGCTGCTGCAAATGCAGCGCGTCTCTCTGATTCGATAAAAGCACAGCTCCGTACCTCCAGGACAGCGCTCTCCCACTAGCAGAGAGCGACCGCTCCCATCACTCCACTTGGAAAAGTGTTTGAATGCGACTTCACGGCTTGCGGTGTATGCCTGCGCAGTGCCTGGCGGAGTGGGTGGGTGGGTGGGTGCAGGTGGGTGGGTGGGGGATGGGGGGTAGGAGGGTGGAGGTGAAGCTGGGTAGACCTAGGAAGAGTTGGGGGGGGGGGGAGGGGGGTTGGTGGGGGAGGGGGCCATCGGCGTCTTCGTCCAAAATCCCGAAATGCAATCTGGGACGGGGGCGGCGGCGGGGAACGCAATTTAATTGGGGCGGCGTTATCGGGTGCCGTGGTTTGAACGATGGCGGTCTGCCGCTGGCAGGCGGCCGCCCAGGCCCTGCGGGACGACTTCGACGTGACGGTGCCGCAGAGCCGCCCGCTGTCCCCCGGCGAGATCCTGGGATGCACGGCGCCGCGCGTCGACATGCCCGGCGCCGCCATCATGTGAGCGAGCGCCGCAGCGTCGCCGTCGCCGCCACCGCCGCCGCCACCACCTGCTGCAGCGGCGCACAGCGCAGCGCCGCCGCTCGACCACGATACGGGCACAGCCGCTCACCGTGCAGAGACACAGCCGCTCACCGTGCAGAGACATAGCCGCTCACCGTACAGAGACATAGCCGCTCACATACAGAGACATAGCCGCTCACCGTGCAGAGACATAGCCGCTCACCGTACAGAGACATAGCCGCTCACATACAGAGACATAGCCGCTCACCGTACAGAGACATAGCCGCTCACCGTACAGAGACATAGCCGCTCACCGTACAGAGACACAGCCACTCACCGTACAGAGACATAGCCGCTCACATACAGAGACATAGCCGCTCACATACAGAGGCATAGCCGCTCACATACAGAGACATAGCCGCTCACATACAGAGACATAGCCGCTCACATACAGAGGCATAGCCGCTCACATACAGAGACATAGCCGCTCACATACAGAGACATAGCCGCTCACATACAGAGACATAGCCGCTCACCGTACAGAGACATAGCCACTCACCGTACAGAGACATAGCCGCTCACATACAGAGACATAGCCGCTCACATACAGAGACATAGCCGCTCACATACAGAGACATAGCCGCTCACATACAGAGACATAGCCGCTCACCGTACAGAGACATAGCCGCTCACCGTACAGAGACATAGCCACTCACCATACAGAGACATAGCCGCTCACCGTACAGAGACATAGCCGCTCACCGTGCAGAGACATAGCCGCTCACATACAGAGACATAGCCGCTCACCGTACAGAGACATAGCTGCTCACCGTACAGAGACATAGCCGCTCACATACAGAGACATAGCCGCTCAACGTACAGAGACATAGCCGCTCACCGTACAGAGACATAGCCGCTCACATACAGAGACATAGCCGCTCACCGTACAGAGACATAGCCGCTCACCGTACAGAGACATAGCCGCTCACCATACAGAGACATAGCCACTCACTGTACAGAGACATAGCCACTCACCGTACAGAGACATAGCCACTCACTGTACAGTGACACAGCCACTCACCGTACAGAGACATAGCCCCTCACCATACAGAGACATAGCCACTCACCATACAGAGACATAGCCACTCACCGTACAGAGACATAGCCACTCACTGTACAGTGACACAGCCACTCACCGTACAGAGACATAGCCACTCACCGTACAGAGACATAGCCACTCACCGTACAGAGACATAGCCACTCACCGTACAGTGACATAGCCACTCACCGTACAGAGACATAGCCACTCACCTTACAGAGACATAGCCACTCACCATACAGAGACACAGCCACTCACCATGCAGAGACATAGCCACTCACCATACAGAGACATAGCCACTCACCATACAGAGACATAGCCACTCACCGTACAGAGACATAGCTACTCACCATACAGAGACATAGCCACTCACCATACAGAGACACAGCCACTCACCATACAGAGACATAGCCACTCACCATACAGAGACATAGCCACTCACCATACAGAGACATAGCCACTCACCTTACAGAGACATAGCCACTCACTGTACAGAGACATAGCCACTCACCATACAGAGACATAGCCACTCACCATACAGAGACATAGCCACTCACCATACAGAGACATAGCCACTCACCATACAGAGACATAGCCACTCACCATACAGAGACATAGCCACTCACCATACAGAGACATAGCCACTCACCGTACAGTGACACAGCCACTAACCGTACAGAGACATAGCCACTCACCATACAGAGACATAGCCACTCACCATACAGAGACATAGCCACTCACCGTACAGAGACATAGCCACTCACTGTACAGTGACACAGCCACTCACCGTACAGAGACATAGCCACTCACCGTACAGAGACATAGCCACTCACCGTACAGAGACATAGCCACTCACCGTACAGAGACATAGCCACTCACCGTACAGAGACATAGCCACTCACCGTACAGAGACATAGCCACTCACCATACAGAGACATAGCCACTCACCATACAGAGACATAGCCACTCACCATACAGAGACATAGCCACTCACCGTACAGAGACATAGCCACTCACCGTACAGAGACATAGCCACTCACCATACAGAGACACAGCCACTCACCATACAGAGACATAGCCACTCACCATACAGAGACATAGCCACTCACCGTACAGAGACATAGCCACTCACCATACAGAGACATAGCCACTCACCATACAGAGACATAGCCACTCACCATACAGAGACATAGCCACTCACCTTACAGAGATATAGCCACTCACCTTACAGAGACATAGCCACTCACCGTACAGAGACATAGCCACTCACCATACAGAGACATAGCCACTCGCCGTACAGAGACATAGCCACTCACCGTACAGTGACATAGCCACTCACCATACAGAGACATAGCCACTCACCTTACAGAGACATAGCCACTCACCTTACAGAGACATAGCCACTCACCGTACAGAGACATAGCCACTCACCATACAGAGACATAGCCACTCACCATACAGAGACATAGCCACTCACAGTACAGTGACATAGCCACTCACAGTACAGAGACATAGCCACTCACCTTACAGTGACATAGCCACTCACCGTACAGTGACATAGCCACTCACCGTACAGAGACATAGTCACTCACCATACAGAGACATAGCCACTCACCGTACAGAGACATAGCCACTCACCATACAGAGACATAGCCACTCACCGTACAGTGACATAGCCACTCACAGTACAGAGACATAGCCACTCACCATACAGAGACATAGCCACTCACCATACAGAGACATAGCCACTCACCGTACAGAGACATAGCCACTCACCTTACAGTGACATAGCCACTCACCGTACAGTGACATAGCCACTCACCGTACAGAGACATAGTCACTCACCATACAGAGACATAGCCACTCACCGTACAGAGACATAGCCACTCACCATACAGAGACATAGCCACTCACCGTACAGTGACATAGCCACTCACAGTACAGAGACATAGCCACTCACCTTACAGAGACATAGCCACTCACAGTACAGAGACATAGCCACTCACCATACAGAGACATAGCCACTCACCTTACAGTGACATAGCCACTCACCGTACAGTGACATAGCCACTCACCATACAGAGACATAGCCACTCACCATACAGAGACATAGCCACTCACCTTACAGAGACATAGCCACTCACCTTACAGAGACATAGCCACTCACCATACAGAGACATAGCCACTCACCGTACAGTGACATAGCCACTCACAGTACAGAGACATAGCCACTCACCGTACAGAGACATAGCCACTCACCATACAGAGACATAGCCACTCACCATACAGAGACATAGCCACTCACCGTACAGTGACATAGCCACTCACAGTACAGAGACATAGCCACTCACCTTACAGTGACATAGCCACTCACCGTACAGAGACATAGCCACTCACCATACAGAGACATAGCCACTCACCATACAGAGACATAGCCACTCACCGTACAGAGACATAACCACTCACCATACAGAGACATAGCCACTCACCATACAGAGACATAGCCGCTCACCATACAGAGACATAGCCACTCACCGTACAGAGACATAACCACTCACCATACAGAGACATAGCCACTCACCATACAGAGACATAGCCGCTCACCATACAGAGACACAGCCACCCACCGTACAGAGACATAGCCACTCACCTTACAGTGACATAGCCACTCACAACACACCCCACAACCACTCACCATGCACGGGCATTGCCTGAACCATCGCCTATTATGAATGTTTACTTGCAAGCCCACACTCAGTGCTATTGACGAACGTGTTGAGTCTTTTTTTATACCTGTTTACTTGCAAGCACACACTAAGTGTTATTGACGAATGTGTTGAGTCTTTTTTTTTTATACCTGACCCCCACATCTTAACAATTGGGATGGTAGGGGTTAGGGGGTGGAGGGGGGGTGTATGCGGAGGAATTCTAAGGTGCCTTCCCGCCGTTAACATAGTTTCGACAGTGCTCGCTAATTATTTGTTTGTTACTAATTCCGGCAAGAGGCGAAATATTTTTTTCGTTCAAGTCCCCGAGGTGATTACGCAGAGCAAATATGACGGGGGTTAATGACTCTGTAAACATCTCGAGCACATGATATGCGAGCACGGAGAATCAAATCACAACGTAGCAATAATTGTAATTCAGTTCCCTCGTGCAAGACTCGGTTGTCTTAAGCTAAACTCTTGACGTGGAAACATCGGCCCTGCGAATTGCCTGCTCGCTCGCTCGCGTGCGCGCCGCTGCCGACAAAAAAGGCAGCTCACAAGAGCCCAGCCCCCTGCTATAGGAGGCATTTGGCTACGAGGTTGGCCCAGAAGGCTCGGCAAAAGGTGGGAGCACACACGCTCTCTGCCCCAGCGCACACGATCTGCCTATCGACTTTGCCACGCGCACGATATTTACCCTCGCCGAGAGTTTTATTTTCCCTACCTTCAACCTCCCCTCCGATTCACCGCTCGATTGGCATTTCGGCCACGTTTTTGAGTCGTCGTAATAATTGCGAGCGGCCGCTTGGCGTGGACGTGTGGCGATCCATGCCGCGTCTGACATTTCAGCAAAAATCGACCAAAAAATTACCCTTGGTCGTTTGCGCTAGAGGTTTTGGCAGGAAGAGGCAAACCGCGGGGGCTTTCTTGTTTTTGGGCAACGCGAGCATTTTAACTGGCGAACAGCGCTCTCGCTTATTTTTTATTTCCGCTCGTTCTTATTTATCCGCGTCGCTTTTCATCTTTCGGGCAGAGACGCTACAAACAAACGCAAATTCACGCATTAAGTCGGGGGCTTTATTGATGTGGTTTCGATTGATTATGGTGGGGGGGGGAAGCTTTGATTCACGTAAATAATTAAAATCCCGTAAAGTCGATGCTGCTCACGAACCGTACGAGTCGCCGTCCTAGGTGTGTGGTGCTGGTGATGGTGGTGGCGGTGCAAGTGGGTGGCCTAGTTACGAAGTGGTCATTTGCATGACCCATCAGCTCGGCTAGACTCTACACCTGTTAACCAATCTCACGCTCCGTACCCCCCGTCTTATCCTCATTACCATTTGCCCTTTCCCGCCACCCCGCGCCCATGTGATATTTTGCAGTTATCTCGGAGATGGTCGCTTCCATCTGGAATCTATCATGATTGCGAACCCGGAGATCTCTGCGTACAGGTGAGTAATGGAATGACCTTCCATTATAAGACACCCAAATGGCATCACATTCAGCCGTTTAATTTGCGAGTTGCCCCGAGTTTTTGTTATTCGTATTAAACATTGGTTGTATTTTTTTGTGTCTGCCCGCCGTAAACGAACACGAGGAAAGCCAATATTGCAGGGATAATGGCGTGAAAATTAATCTGCTTGGATCAGCCACTGTTTTAAGCTTCGCTTGCTCACGTGTTACATTAGCCTGAGCGCGCAAGAAGTCTGCTGTTGTTTTCAAATATTTATTCATGCTAATTTGTAGTGGTTAGATGTATATATATTAAACGAAATCTAAATGCGTGTGTTCGCGCTTGCATGTGTACCGTGCGTTTGGTGGAGTATTGGTTAGTGCTTCTGCGCTGCGAATGCGCCGGTGCCGAGTTTGATTCCAGTCCACGGCCAGCATCGGCGAATTTCATCCAAACCGGTCCTGGGCCCTCCCGTTGGTCTTCATTCAGCGTGGTTCTCAGCCACACTACCACCACCACCCCCTTGTGCAGTGTGCCAGCTTTAATGATAGATGCTCACCAACAGCACTTACCCCAACAGCGTGTTAAATGGCTACGCGGGGGGGGAGCATTGTCTTTATTTCTGCCGCAGTGAGGAGCACAAGCGGGTGCATTGGCCGATCGTCTCAGTCAGTCGACCCATAACACCCTGGGTCTCTTCCCGGCCCCTCCTGGCAGCGGAGAGCACTTCCGCGCCTCGCTTGACGGTCTGGAAGGGCACCTAGTTTGGCTCGAGCGGCCACGGTAACGTCATCGTTGCTTGTCAACAAGCGGCGGCCGTTTGCGCCGTTCGTGCGCGTTTGTGTACGGATACCATTTTAAAAGACTCAAAATACAAAATGAGCCACCTGTTGTCAAACTTGTGTTTTGGCATTGGACGCATACATTGAAAATCAACAACGCAGCAACTGTTGACTATCTGCAATTAATGGTTTGTCCAGAAAGTTAGCCGATCAGAATTTTTTTTAAACAAGATTATGTTTGGCGCTGCTGCACTATCAGTGGTGCGTAAGCACAAATAACAAATAACTCGACATGTTTGTCAATAATACTGCAGCCCTAATAGGACAAGCATGTAAATGGAAACGTCCCTGGCAATGGCCCTGCTTCATAGCGAGCCAGAGAGGTTGATTGGATAAGAGTTGGAGCCTGCACTTATACCATAGTATTGAACTCGGGAAGAGAACTCAGGACTTTATACCATGGCATGAAGGGCAGTCTTCGGCGTATTTCCACTCTACCCTCTCTGGCCCCCCTCCCCATGTGCTACGGAGAAGGGCCATTGCCCGAAATGTCGACTCGTATTTACTTTTCCTTTTTGCGTCGCAGTTTTAATTGAAGAATGACGATAAGATTATGACACTTGGTTTATTATACCCAGGCAAGCCTTAGTGAGAGTGAGTCACATTACACTCTTGGTTAGGAGGGTCCTGCCAGCATTTTCACAGTAGGGCGGGGGGGGGTGGGAGACGTGGGAGCAGGAGGGTAGTGGGGTGGGTGATGGTATTTTTCCAAGTGAATAATACAGATAAATAATTGAATGTCTTGAGGCACGTAAAGTAAACAAACAAAACAGGTCCCTGCAGGGTGGGCTGGTAGGAACATTGGAATTTTTCACTTCGTTAAAGTATTGAAAGGGGACGGACGGACGGACACATTCATCTATTGCAGGCTGGTACACTCAGTTTACAACTTCGTTCCTACCAGTAAAAACACCACTTGCAAATGTAGGGCACCACGGTGGCGAGATGTTAACTACCTTAACTATTGCATGGTATGCAGGAGGTTGTGGGTTCAATCCCGAACCTGACGCCTGCATGAACTCCCCGTGGTCGCGTCGATTTTTCTCCGGCTACTCCAGGTTTTACCTCCACATTTAGAAACGTGCATTTGGGGTATTTGGCCGCGATCATTTTCCACGTGATAAGCCACTTTGTCGAGCTATCATTTGTGGCCAGGTTGCTTCTGAAAAAGAGCTACATAGCTCAGTGGGCCTTTCCTGGTAACATAAACAATCACTCATTGGTTTTTTCGGTAAGGTCACGTATGTAGAAATACAACAAAAAAACAATCACGACGTTTAGATCACAACGCAAGCGATCTTCATCAGGTGTCAAGAACAAATCACGGAGGTAAATACAAACAAAAAGATGAGAGACGAGAATTCAACAAACCTGAAAAAACATTATGTGAAGCACATCCAGTCAGGCCAACAACACAGTTAGACACTTCCTGGCGGACCACGAATTTCAGAAGAGTGTTAAATTTCGTGTTCAACCTTTGGATTGCACATACCAGCATAGATAGAATGAAAAATACGAGGTACACGGTCAGTAGTAATACATATACAAGTCCACCAAGAGGTAAGGAGGGAGGAAAGACAGACAGGGAGGCAGAGAGAGAGAGAGGGGGGGTGCCGGAGGGATGAACAGAAGCTTAAATAGGAAATACGGTTGGAGGGGGGGAGGGGCCAGAGCGAGAGCGGCAGCTCAAACACGCACATCTTACACATACAAAACGGCAGCTCAAAAAAAGACCACCTCTTGTAAATACAAAACGGCAGCTCAAAAAATGACCACCTCTTACACATAATTACAACAGTAACTTCCCCGTAGAAGTGTGATAATAAAGTATTAAAGCTTTCGTGACTGCATAAAATTACTCATTGGTCATTTTTTGAGCTGCCGTTTTGTATTTACAAGAGGTGGTCCTTTTTTGAGCTGCCGTTTTGTATGTGTAAGATGTGCGTGTTTGAGCTGCCACTCTCGCTCTGGCCCCTCCCCCTCTCCAACCGTATTTCCTATTTAAGCTTCTGTTCATCCCTCCGCCCCCCCCCCCCCTCTGTCTCTGCCTCCCTGTCCGTCTTTCCTCCCTCCTTACCTCTTGGTGGACTTGTATATGTATTTCTACTGACCGTGTACCTCGTATTTTTCATTCTATCTATGCTGGTATGTGCAATCCAAAGGTTGAACACGAAATTTAACACTCTTCTGATATTCGTGGTCTGCCAGGAAGTGTCTAACTATGTTGTTGGCCTGACTGGATGTGCTTCACATAAAGTTTTTTCAGGTGTGTTGAATTCTCGTCTCTCATCTTTTTGTTGTATTTACCTCCGTGATTTGTTCTTGACACCTGATGAAGATCGCTTGCGTTGTGATCGAAACGTCGTGATTGTTTTTTGTTTTAATATAATTTTATTGTATTTCTACATACGTGACTTTACCGAAAAAACCAATGAGTAATTTTATGCAGTCACGAAAGCTTTAATACTTTATTAACATAAACAATCGTTTCGTTGTATAGTTTTTCGTTTAGTCGGGATTGGCCAAAGATCCCAGTGCCGAACGACTTCCCTGCAGATTACTCTGTTGGAAATGCACACCGCAAAATCGCCTGCCCTGTTGCACACACTTGGCAGGGCCCTCCTGAAAACAAGTCTTGGGACTCCGCAAGGCTCTCCTGGGTTAAACAAGCACAGTAATCAAAAGTAAAAATAAATAATGTAGCGGGTGGTTTTGTTCAACAAATACACATTGGCGTTACATTATATTGCGAGCGCATCTTCCTTAAATGTCATCTTTACGTAATCACATTTCGTTGTATTTAGTTAGTTCTCTACAAATGTGTTTTCCAGATGCAATTAAGTTTTTTTTAGGTTTCAGAGTTCAGTCGCTCTTGCCATATTATGTTTATGAACCTTCAGTGAGTTCAGTGCTGATCTCTAATGAGCCGAGATTATACGCGGGGTTGTTTTTATGTTCTAATACAGCAACACCGCATTAAACACCTCTAAATCTAGCGCCATGCCGCGTGCAACCATGAGTTACGCTCTACGTGCCATGCTTTATCACTTCCCCACATGGGGAGGCCCCTCTCCCCGCTTCTCCCCCCGTCTCACTCTACTCTCCGGCATGTGTGTATGTATGTATGTTGGACTTCTTTAGCACCGTGCGTAACCAACCGTAATCATCGGATGTGCGTTGGCTCTGCTCCACCAATGAAGGCCTCCTCCTTTACGACGCCTGGTCAAAGCCTTAATTCCATGGCAGGGGGTCGCTCCTTCTCGTCTTCTGTATTTCTCTTCCTCCTCTCATCTTATTTTATATACGGGGTGTTTCAAAAAGATGGGCCCAATTTCAAAGCAGTATACATCACGATGGCAACATGTTACAATTACACAACAAGTTGCAAACGGTTTAATGGGTTATCAAGTTTACTAACCATTTTATAAATCCTCTATGTGCCCTCCACCTGCTGTACGGACAACATCGAGACGATAGTTGAATTCGTCCCAAACGCCTCTCTTCTCACGTTTCCCTCTGAAGTGCGTGGTCGCCCTGTGCTCTTCCTCTTACATCAACAGCAGCCCGCTTCCTCAAATTGTTGGTACCAACGACGATTGCTCTTTGACATTGGCGGATAATTGCCAAAATGCCGTTACGGATTCAGCTGAACTGTAGAACGCAAAACGCCCCTTGTGTTGCGGGGTCACCGTCTTGCGAATGACTGAGGCTAGGGGCTGTTTGTGCGCTGGGAGAGGCATCGAGCGGTCATCATTTGAAACTTTATGCCCCGCCCTCTCTATGCCCCGCCCTCTCTATGCCCCACCCTTTCAAGTGGTAAGCGTTTCATTCATGGGCGGTTCGTGGTTGCAGAGATATAGCGATTTCAAAACGGGCCCATCCTTTTTAAAACACCCTGTATATAGAGCGCCCAAGCTGGGGGTTGTTTTACAAAGTTTTAAAGCGGTAATAACAATACAGTGACTTAGACGGCAAGGGGCAGTTCATGAGCCGAGGAATGAGTGAGTGTAATAGAGAGGGCACACAGGGATCAGGGAAGGGCTATAGGGGAGGGACGGGACGGAGTTCAGGGGGCGAGGGGAGGGATGAGGAAGGAAATGAGCAATCAGAATATTTAATTATACTGTCAGAGGAATCTGATGAGCTATGAAGCTCT